GGTATGCTCAAGGATTAACTCTGTGCGTGTTTCATAGCTCCAAGGACTTGCTCACGTCAAGCCTCAGCCAGGATATTCTGTCCATGCAGAAACTCCAGTGGGAGGAAGCCAAGGGTGTGGGCATCGCCACGCCTCCTCGCCTCCTCCCTCTCTTTCACTCCCGGTTGAAATTAAATGAAAGCTCACCCACAAGACCCAGCAGTTGGTCATGTCTTGATGTTTGCATCTGTGTTTCTTCCATGCTTACAACCACTGGACCATCCTTTGATAGATGTAAAATTCTCTGACGATGAAGACAAAGAGTTATCTTTTATGGGGGACATTGGAGTAATCTCTAGAGTTATCTTACTTTTGAAGCAACCCTAAGAAAGGTGCCTTTCTATGAAACTGGAGTGCTGTAATACTTAGGCACTGATGACATCACAGCCTCCCCGTGTTTCACATCCATGGGTCTGGCAGTGTCTCATCATCACCCCTCCCTTGATACTTGGCATCCTGCAACTTGCCTTGAACCTTGCCAAAGCATCAAGTCATTTGCATGGGGTGATTAACATTGGGCTGTCTTTGAGCATTGCAAGGTCTCCCTCTCTGAGGTTGATAAACAGCACCTCTCTTCAGTTGTATTGAGTCTGTGTATTTCACAACATCCATATTCTATGGAGAGTAGCCAACCAAGGTGAAGAACTTTGCAATCAGTAGCATTGAGGCCCATCGTTTGCACCCAAAGGATGTTCAGGTTCACTAGTAACTGGCAGCATTTCTAAATGCATCCATAGAAAGGAACGGATTGACCCCCACTTAGTTTTCTCCAACCTGGTTCCCTCCAAATGTGCTGGACTACAACGCCCACTATCCCCAGCTAGCAAGGCCTTATGGCTCTTATATCAAATAAAATTTGACTGCAGGCATTCCTACTCTGTGAACTAGCTTCCTTTTCTCACCCCATCACTCCAACTCAACAACCCAACCCAGCCTGTGGATTTGTCACACAATGTGGAATGTGTTAATACCTGTATAGGTCCATCCCACTGACGGTGGATTTTAAGAGTGCTTAAAGGCCTGAGAAGAGGCTCCTTATATGCCATGACATTGCTTTGCTGTTTGGATTATCTTCTCATCTCCGGATCTTTTTTCTGAATATTACCATTAAAAAAAAACAAGTGTACGTATTCTTTTAGGAGAACTTCCTCCTCAGCTGCCTTAAAGCTTTTTGAAGTTACAAGTCAGGATGTACATTTCTCAGCTGAACAATAATGTAATAAATAATAAGAGTTTAAGAAGAGACCAATGTTCTGCTTTCCATAGAGATCCAAGAAAATGTTTCTAGAAAGGTCATACGAAGTCACAGAGGGCAGTGCGGCTATCATATCCAAGTATATCTAATACTTTAGGATCCTCAGAGAAAATCCCGAAGCGTGTTATTATAAAATTTATAATTAAATCCATCATTTAGCAAGCAGAAGGCAACAAAACAATCACCATGCTCCATCCATCATTTGTCAGCTCAAAACTGAGCAAGGCCAAACTGGATCCAACCTGAAGTCCATTTTGAACATGGATGCCTAAATCAGACTATGCTTCTGTGGATGATGGATCACTTAAGGTCTTCATTGGAGCTGCTGGGAGTCTCTGGAAGAAGCCTGAAAAAGGCACGTCATGTGTAAAAATAAACACAAACAATGCAGACTCAACCTCCTGACTCAAAATCCGGAAAGCCTTGATATGAATCACATCCCCTTCTTGAGCTCAGAAAGGAGCGTTTCACCAGGATATCAGATTTTGTCACCTTCTGGACACAGAAACGTTGAAGTTGGCCTCAAAAGGAAAATTCCCCGAGAAATGTGATGAAATCAGGGTGAGAGTTACAGATCTCACTCCTACAGTGTATGAACAGCCAACATCCCTCATACGCAGCCCCTACTTGATTCACCGTCACCTGATCCCAGGGCTGATGCCATCTTCTCTGGTGGGCACCAAAGGGCCCATTCCTTCTTTCACGTATCACTCAAAGCCAAAGCGGGACACTCGAGGCTAACCGGGGGAAGGGGGGAGACACTGGAAGCAGGCTCAGTTCTCATTTTAATTTTGCAGGGGAAATTTTCAGCATTTCCACCTCTCTTCCCGTTTTCCATGAGCTGCTCCTTTTACCCCAAGGCAGAACAACGAACAGCCACTCTCCGCTTAAGGCAATTCAGCAGATACTGTTCCATGGCTCTTCCCACACCCCGCATGGCCTTAGTCCTCTCTCTCGTTCACATCCAGACTTCATACCCCATTGCAAAGCCTGTCTGCTCCCTGCAGGGCGGTTCTGGTGGGTCTCGACTCCTTCCAACAGCTGACTCCTCTCAACGTGACAGAAGGATAGAGCACCCTGCCACCAAAGGGCTAAATGAAATAGAAGAGAAGCAACTTTACTCACAACCTAGCAGGGCATCAGATGGCAAGGAGACCTGGTCTGGCACGCAGCACATTCAAAGAACTCTTCTTTTGGCGTCCAGAGAAAGCCACAGCTATTATGGTTTCACTTCAAGGACTGCGCTGGGACTCTTGTCTGCATCTAGGTTGCCACAGCTGAAATGCTTTTATATATATTTTATGGGCGCATCAGCCAAACAAGCTGCTGCAGAGGAGTTAATCCGTAAGGGCACTCCGAAGAGAAAATACTTACGCTAGGGCAGACAAGTGCCAAGTCCCTGAATTCCAAGCCACCGTGCTATATAGCGATTCATCTTTCTGTCTTTCCTCAGCAGATAATCTGGCAGGAGAAGGCATCTATTGTCTTGTAACTTGAGTTTCTACCCTGCTTACATAGCCTCTGCCGGACAGGTTTGCACGCTAAGATGATTACATTACTAGGTTGTTGAGCTGAGGTTGATTGAAAAAGAAAGGTTGTATCAACAAGGAAACATTTCCCAGAACTGCACATACCGAAGGATGGACAGGGGCTGTCAGAAGGAAGTTGGAAGAATTTCAGAAGATAATGCATGGTTTGCATGCCAACAGTCCACTGATTCTCTGTTAGACGTGTGTCTCAGGTAGCCAGGTTGAAGAAGGAACCTTCTCTCAGTCTAAGACTCTGGAATGCTGAGATTCCTGAACGACATCTCTTTGGACAGCTGAAAAAGTGCTCATGTGCCCTAGCTAGATTTTGACGGATGCGCCAGCAGAAGGAGAATCAATGCATGCGTTTCCCCACTCAACGGCTTTGAATATTGCCTTGTCTTTTGGGAAATTATGATATTCTGCTGCTTACATGGAGAATAGGCTAACTCTGATCTTGGTCTTTTCCTTCCATGAATACCAGATATCCTCTGTAGCAGATATGGATGTAAGAGATATTATTATTATTATTATTATTATTATTATTATTTCTTGCTCTACTAAAGCAATGCTGGCTAGGGAATTCTGGGAGTTGAAGTCCACACATCTTAAAGTTGCTAGGGTTGAGAAACCCTGCACTAAAGAACTGTGAGCTCACAAAATACCTGCCAGGGTTGGAGAGAAGAGATGCTTTTCTTTTTTGCTTGTGAAGCAGGCACTTGTTAGAAATGAAGCTGGCTGAAATTGGGACTAAGGAAAGAGCCAGGAGGATTTTCCCCATTTGCAATGGTCAGTGTGTGGTAAGAATGTCAGGAATGAGGAAGCCATTCAACATTCCCTGGATCTGTGTCAGTCAAGATGTGAAACTGCAGAAATGGAAAGGAAGGCCACAGCATCAGTGGAAACATTTGGAGTCTCAGGAAGAGGAAGCAGAGGATGGATTTGTGGAGAACTCAGAAATGATCTAGCCATGCTATAAGACTGTCAAAAGAGCCATGAGGCTGGATCAGGCCATTGCCCATCACGTTCAGCACTCCAAGTTACACTGTGGCCAACCAGGGGCTTTCAGAAAGCTTGCAGACATAGATAGGAAGGATGGAGAGAGCCTCCTTCCATTGCTGTGCTCCACCCGCTGGTCTTTAAGGGTTCTTGGCTGGGACACTAGAGGTAGCCATCAAGACTAGTGACCATTGATGGCTATCTCCTCCCTGGGTGTGTCCAAAGTGGATGTGGCTATCACTACATCCACTGGCAGAAAGTCCCAAGTTTAAGGTATATAAAGAATGAAATCCTTTTATCGTTCCTGAAAGTCTCAGCAGTTTGTTTCTTGGATGTTTATGACTTCTAGTGTTGTAAGAGAAGAGGGGGGAACCCTACTCTTTATTTACATCTTCACGTGTGATCAAGAAGACCCAGATCACACATGAGTCCCAGTGAATCTGGGCTTATTGTCCCATCCAATCATGCAAAATGTCTGGTTCCTTCCCAAAGCTTTGGTGGCTTTGCAAGGCAAAGTCTGAAGCCCATGAAAGCCTCGTCATGGGATCCAACATCGATTTCTGAACTAAGAAGACTTGTAGAGCTAAGGAAATGTGCTGACAAGGAAATAGTAAGAGAATTGTAGTCTTGGGAAACTTTGCACAGCATGTGAGAAGGAGACAGTGAGACCACAGAGGGTTACATTTGGAATTCAAGAGCATCCTGGCCTCTTTGAGAAAGTTTGAAAGAACTAGGAAAATCTAGACTTCTTTAAACCTCATATGTGAAGGGATTCTCTTTTTTAAAAAGAACCTTAGGGTTTGGGCACAACCACATTGGGGATCCCTCACCTTCCCTAATCCAGCATCCTCCTCTTCAGCAGGAGAATGCTTCGGTGGATGGAATTCTGGGAGCTGTAGTCCCAACCGAGGTGGTAGGCCTGGGGTTGAAGCAGGATCCCTTCTATCTAGTCCTAGCAGCCCCACCCAGGACCCAGAAATGGTCTGAGCATACCAGAGGCAAGGAAGCCAAATGAAGACCTAATTGGGCACCTGGATGGGAAGGTCTCTGAGGAAAGGAAGATAAAGTTCCCAGGATGAGACATGGAGATGACTAATCTGCCAGACTAATCCATCAAAGACTCCTCATGAGGACCACAAGCTCTTCTGATATAATGATCTTCCGCAGAGAGCCTCCCAAGGATGCCTCCTGGCCTTGGCCATACACGTGAGGCTCACAGAGAGAAACACTTCCTTGGTGGAAGCTACCGTGGGAAATGCTTCCTCCCTAGAGAAGCCTCCCCAGTGCCTACCTGCCCCTTGGACCCCAAGCAAGGAGGGCTCTTCTATTTCTCCAAGCTTGACAGAGACGACGTCTACTTCCTGATGCTTTCATGCCTCTTTCTGTGAGTTTGTGGCCCTTTGGATTATTGTTTTATGTGGGATGACAACGGCAGGGCAGTAAAAAGGGAAAAAACCCCAAAGCATTAACTGTTTGATGGTTAATGATTAACTACAATACATTTTAAAGTGCTAAATAAAACCAGAAATTATGATCCATGGCTCATAGAAGATAAATTACTTTATATATTAGAAAACAACATGGAAATCTTTTAAATGAATGCCTCTTGCTCAAAACATAAATTTCCCCCCTTCTTTTAGAACAGCCGCTTTCCCCCTTCACTGTCACTTTTACATGAAGTTGTTGGTTTCATTGATGGATGCTGATTCTCAGCCAAACATTAGAAATTCAACACGCTCATTCTTCCGAGTACGTGAAGAAAAGGATTCCTTGATTATAAAGATCTGCTGAGGGGACATCAGAAATAAAGACATGCCAACTAAAACCCTTCCCCTGCCCCCACCCCCATGCTAGTTTGGCTTAAAACAGGATGACCTATACATAGAAGTATATATTTAAAAGTGTGTGTGTGTGTGTGTGTGTGTGTGTATTACTCCCCACTGCCATCACCATGAATTTCCACCCGCTGCTCACCTCCTTCCAGATTAGAATGCCATAACCCTCCCATGCCATTGAAAGAAGCTGCGGGCACAACTACGGTCACTCGTACAGGAGGCGCGAGCAAGCCACAGCCTCCTCGTAATACGTTTCTGCATCCAGGGAGCAGCTCTTCAATCAGTGAAGGCATTATGCTGATTACTGCAGGCAGGGAAACATCACAGAAGTAATACCCGCTTCCTCTCCAAAGAGTCGGCTAACTGGGACCTGGGAGCAGAGCTGCTAGACAGGTTTAATTCAGATGACTAAGGCTGCAAATGTTCTTTCACCCCGATGATCCCAATGTTCTCCAGATCTTTGAGTTTCATGGCTAGAATCTAAACGTGGTCTCTGTGGGATAGCTTTTCCACTCAGCCCACAGAGGGGCTAATCGAATCATTCTTTCCTAGGGCATGAACAGTGGCCATGCTTGCCACCCTAAACCAGGACCAGGGGGCCCCAGTGTTGAAACTCGTAACTTGGAAGTACGTGAGGTCTCCATGCATGCAGGGGAATGGTCTGTTCTCAAATGCATCTAGGTCTAGATTTGCTTTGACAAAAATGGGACCATTCCAGCATTTATACTGCAATGGGCGGTGAGAATAACCTTGAGAGACTGGAAGAAAGCCATAGCGTAGACAATGGTCTGATAAACAAAATCTGAGCCCAAACCAGAAATGTAACTTGAGAAGCATCTTGGACAAGACGCTCCCATGTTCTCGCAAAGATAAAGGGAGGGAAGCGGAAATGCATTCAGATTTGCAAGATTCTGTTACTGTAGCCTTACAATAAAAGTAGTATTAGCATTCATGACTTTGGTTTCCTGGTCTGGACTATCTCCAAGGGTTGACGTATACACACGCATGCACCCACCCGCCAAGTATGCGAGGGTCTCCAGGAATGATTCCAAAGGCACCTTTGTTTTGCTTAACAGAATGAATGGCTTTGTAGAGAGATTCCTGAACTTGTGGAAAGAGTTGATAGAAAGCTGCCCACGAGAGTCACCCTTTGCATGTCTTTCTTCTCTGTGTGAGAGCACACATCACCCCCTGTGGATAAGGAAACCGATCGAACAAAAAAAAAAAAAAAATCAAAAGAGGATTTAAGATGCTATCAAAAGTAATGAGATCCCACAGCAAAACAGAAAACCAGCCTGCCTGTACCTGTTGATTTCTAGGGAGCTGACTGAGAGGAAGATTCACAGAGACCTTGGGTTTTATTGATGGGGTCCTGCCTTGCTCGACTGGACTTTGATCAACAGCTTCAGGTGCTCCACGAGGCTTAGATGTGAGGGACCTTAACACCATCCTGCTGCAAGGTTGCCCCAAGAAAAGGAGGGGCAAACGCCGCCTGGATGTGGGGCTGCTCCTAGCCAGCTGCGGTGAGCTCCTGGTGAGGGCAATCAAACGGGCACTTTTCTTGGCAGCAACATGGGAGTGGTTTGGTGAGGCTCCTTCTGGGAAGTTTCTTCAACTGCCCAGTCTCACCTACAGCAAACTAGAGGCATAGCCCCAGGCTGGGGACTTACAACATCCACAGACAACTGACCGTTAGGCACAGCTCTTGCAGAAGTAGAAACTTTTACTTTGCATATAGGCTGGGGAAGAGGAACGGCATCTTTGCAGGTCTGTCATGACTTGCACTCTCTGCTTTTAACTGGGCTTAAGCCTGGAACATCTGAATGAGCCAATCTGCTCATTGCAAAGATGCTTTTATGGGATAAAGCCACCCACAGTGGTCACAAGGCACGCGGGTGGCTCAAAACAAATTGTCCTTTGTTTCTAGGTTGGCTTTCGGAGAGTAGAGATAAAGTGAGTTCCTTATTGACTAGGGACAGGTCCTTGGGTGCAGAGAGAGCACCAGAAAGTAGCATGTCCTTTACCCTTCAGTCCACGCTGGTTTGGCTTGGTGGCCATCGCTCAGGGGAGGTGCAATTCTGACTCTTTGGCCCATTCAGGAGGTCTGGTGCACAGTGTAACGCTTGCCCTGACCAGTTTAGATCCCAGGCGTGACCACCATCCTTTCACTGACAAACGACAGAAAAATATGCCCTCTGAGCCTATTTGGGCTCAGGTTAGTGGAACTGTTACCAGCATGCGATCTGGATCTTCTTTGCAACCTTCCTCTTCTTAAGATCCACGGGAGCTGTTTAAGCCATGGGCAAGGGGGATGTGAAAGGCCCGGCCACACCAGCCTTCCTGGAATGGCCCTGCCTTTGAACTCAGTCTCACCTTGTCCTGAAGGTTCTCATCACTTACTCCATTCTTCTGACAGGGGCTCGGAAGAGGAAAAGTTCCTCTTGGCATGGAGTGTTTTACTCAGTGTTCTCTCCATACGTCAGCGCTCTGCAAAGCAGCCTTTCCCTGTTTGCAAGGTGGGGCACCTGGCCCAGCCCGGCCTTTTCAAACTCACCTCCTTAGTAATCTGCATGCAAAATTCTGCTATGAAGCAATGGTGTTGATTCCTTTGTGGGGACACATCTCCTGAGCTTCAGGAAATTCCCACCAAAGGAACAGGTGGCAATCTACTTCACTGGGTTGATTCATCCCACAAATCTCACTCTCTGAAATCTTGAAGCCGAGGGGCTGGGAATCTTCCCTGAAAGTCCTAGGGATGGACCAACTGTCAGTCTGACTCTCACCTTAGGCAGGAAGATCAAGGTGAGAGGAATAACTCTGGGCAAGGAAAGGTGTGCACGGTTCCAATGCCACCAGAAAGCTCAAACTGGTCTGGCGTAAGGCATCTTGGAAATTCTATTTCTCTTCCTATTTTCTGAAAGCAAGATAATGCAGCTGGTGGTTGATACAGGATCTCTGGTCATCTAGGAGAGGAAAACACTTCCTTCACATTTTCCAGAAAGACCACATCCCTGCACCAACATTATCACGTGAACTGCAGAATCACACAAAAGTTTGGAGTAAAGTAGAAACATTCTCTGCAGCTTCACCAGCCCCACTCTAGATCTTGGCTATTCGGTTTAATGATCCCCAACAGGGAATTCAGCATGTCCGGACTGTAGATGTGGAAACCATCTCAGCTTTGAAGATTCATTATTCCTGTTTCAAATCTTCCAGCCTTGAGGTTCTTTCACTGTTGGTAGATGGGATTCAAAATCAGGATGATTGGCAAACATCATTTGGCAATAAGCCATTACCCCTCATCTAATCACAACCTCTGAGACTAACCCAAGCCAAGTACGACCACAAAACATTCTCATTTTTACAATTAATATTATAGAAGGATAGTAATGGTGAAATTAGCAGAGCTATCCTAAAACCTTGTTCCCTTCGTGAAATGCAATAAAAAGGTGGTTTCTGGAAAAGGTAAATTGCCAGGTATTCAGGCAGTTTCCTGGTAGGCTAACAACTGGCAAGCCAGGTCATCACTGAGGCATTAGCAAACTGACAACTTTAGAAGAAGAAGGTTTAACTGATAAAGACTTAATCCTGTGTAGCTGTATCTGGAATAAACCCCACTGACCCCATAGTCTTACTTCAGAGCAGACAGATTCAGGTTGGCATTTTTAACTAAGAATTCAGTTAATCAATCAGGTTATATTTAAACAAAGGGGCATCTTATGAACCTTCTAACCTCTTGGTTAGATGGAAAACAGTTTAAGAAAGAACGAGAGAAAAGGTAACTTCCACTCTAAGGAACCTCCCTCTCACTTCTTTGCAGACTGATGGATTCGGTGGCTGTCCCTGGCCAACCATGCCTGATCTCAGAAGACCAAGGGTTGTGGAACCTGTTCAGGAGTGAGATGGGAGCCCATGATGATCCCCAGACTGTAGGCTGGACTAGTCAAAGAATTAGTCAAGAAGTCCAAGAATTAGCCTGGATTAACCACATCCTTCCTGCTGCCAAGTTGAGGAGATGACAAGACATGGTTGTGTCCATGAAGTCACAGGAGGTTAGCTCAAGCAGAAAACTTTATTGTTAGAAAACATGGTAAAAAATACTTCTGCTTTTTTCCCCCCCAAGATACAGGTTACCAACACTTTGGAGTACATGAAGCAGCAGGGCACCCAAGTCTACAAGTAAATTGGAGCTTCACTAATATGAAATTCTTTTGACTGGTTAATCAAGGTGTCTTTGGCTTATTGAAATACCGTTGCGTTGTTCATCCATTTTTGAATTAAGGCTTTCAGACTTTTGAAAGAAAGCAGCTGTTTTAAAAGGTTTGCTACTCAGCTGGGGCAGCCATCAGAACAGAATAGGATGGTGTCAATCAAATCAGTGATCACATGATTGGAATCTCATCCCCTCCCCGATTCTTCCCTAAAAGAGAGCAGCTTAAAATGGATGGGCCACGGTAGTCTCCCTCCTCTTCTTTCCCCATCACCTGAGGTTTGCCTGCTGAAAACAAAACACAGCAAAGACCAAGCCCCCACAGCTGCAACTTCATAACATGACAGCACACTCTTTAATCCCAATAAATAGAGAAGTTGCGTCACTCGCTGCAAAAAAGTATATTTAGCACCACATAAATACAAATTATCTAGGATGAGCCTTCTTAGTAGAGCTCACACACGCTCGTGCCCTATTCCAAAAGGTCTGATAACTAAGCCCAAGGGCTGTTTTTGGCCTGCGTCTAACACTGCGGAGCTCGAGCCCAACTTAACGTCGTTGGCATCCTGCTCCGTGGTCACGTTGAGAGCTGGGCTCAAGAAGCAGCATTTCTGTCCCAGCAGACTGGTAGGCCTGTGGGTGTCCTACCTGCACCCATGGCCCATCGGGTGCAGTGGGCAGGAGACAGACTGTCCTTGCCCTGCACTATTGAAGCCAATCTACAAGAGTGACCATGTTGGACACGTGGAATGGCTAATTCAAGCTCTTTGATGGCACAAGGGTTTTCCTCGCCCCTGGCTTCCTGTGTCTTTGTCTTAGAGTCTTTGTTTATCTTTTGTTGACACCAACAGGGAAGAACTGGTGCCAGAGTTTGATTCTGAGGGATTTTTCAGAGCCCGCTGTGGCTCAGCGGCTGGCGCTACAGAGGGTAGGTTCTCAGTTCCGCTTGCTTGAAACTTGAGAGCATAGATGTTACAATGGGGATTTCCCTGAGAGACCTAGTTGGCCACAGTAGAAACAGAAGGCAGAAATAGATTCTTCTAGTTCTCCCCTGCTGCACGCCCCCCTCCCCTAGCAGTTATGCCAGTGTGTGGCAGAGAAATCAACACATCCTGAAAGATTAATCGCCAAAAGACTTTTAATCAGGTTATTTGCTGTCTCACCATTCACCTTTCTCCATTTCATAAGCATCCTATCATTTTCTTTCCAAGGTTATAAAGGATAAATGGTTCCAAAACCTTGCTGTGCAGGTGTCTTCATAGCAGATGTATGCAGGTTCTTATATATATTTTACTTTAGGAATTCATGGCCTGCTTGAAAGGGCTCTCTCACCGCAGTTCAGAAACATGAAAAGAGACTCTCCATTATTAAACAAAACCACCTTCCAGGTCAGCTGGGTGGCTCCAGCTGCCTCTTGTGGCAACCGGTTCCAGCACTTAATTGTCCCACGTGGAACCGGGCTCCCTTTTCTCGGCCCTGAATTGACTGCCTGTCAAGGAGATTGGGTAACCCCTGGAGCAGGTGGCAAAGGAAAATCGGGCACCCCTTTTGGGCCAAACCTTCAGGAAGGGCTCTGAGCAACGCATCTCTAGCGATGGTCGACAGGGCACAAACAAGGGGGCTTTGATGACTGGCACAGGAGCTGTTTCTTCCACCCCTCCACAAGGGCTGTTGGCATTTGCAGAACAGAGGTTGGGTGAAGGCACCTTTGCCCGCCACTCTTTCTCTGAATAGCCGTCACGAGGAAGCGGCTGCTGCAATACCCCCAGAGAGACGTATCTCAGGAAGGGGTGACCTGCATCTCCCCCATTTCCGCTCGAAGGATGGCCCTCCCCAGCCCGACCCCTTGCACAGGGAAGGAGAGGGCAAGAGCTCCGGAGGGAAGGCCAGGGGGGATGGATGAAGCAACTCGGGGTTTTCTCCCGGCCGGAGTCAGGCTTCCTCCCCAGCGAGCAGCTGAGGGTGAA